GCCGAAGTCGGACGCTCAACTGACCGAGCCACCCAGGCGCCCCAATTTTTAAAAATTTTCAAAGGATATAAATAGGTGTTTCATGAAAACAGAAACCCAAATAATTTAAAAAAGTTAGTGTCACTAGCTATTAAATATATAAATATTAAGACAAGGTATTTGGAGGGGGCAAAGACTTTTTCACATTTTATTATAGAAAATTCCAAACATATAAAAAAGAGAAGAGAATATATAATAAATTCCCATGTATATATCACTCAGTGTCAATAATGATAACTCATGGCCAGTCTAGTTTCTTACGCTCACCTAAGTCACATTCTGAGTCCCTCACTGGATCATTTGGAAACGATTCTTAGATGGCATTTCATTCCATCTATAAGTATTTTAGTATATACCTCAGTCAGGCAAAGACTTACTGCATAACATAAGTACACTCCCATCATCAGTGCTACAAAATGAAATAATTCCTTAATTTCATCAAGTATCCATTGTTTACATTTCTCATAAATTTTTGAAGTGGTTTGCTTGAATCAAGATCCCCAACAGGATTCACTCTGTGTTTGGTTGATATGCTTCTTAAATCATTTAAAAATTTTTAATAAGAATTTTATTTATTTTTTTTTAGAGAGAGAGAGTGTGCAAAGGGCGGGAAGAGGGCAGAGGGAGAAAGCGAGAGAGAGGGAGAGAGAGAGGGAGAGAGGGAGAGAGACAGAGAGAGAATGAATCCCAAGCAGACCAACATGGGGCTCAATCCCATGACCCTGGGATCATGACCTGAGTCGAAATCAAGAGTCGGAAGCTCAACTAAGTCACCCAGGTGTCCCTCATTTAAAAATTTTGACATCTGTAGTCCACCTTTCTGCAAAGTATGTTTGCCTTGCTCTGTGAATGTAAAGGGTGAGAAAGTTCCAGGGAAGTCTGAGTAAGGAGTCACTGGGAAATGCCTGTTGACTGCAGTTTCTTTTTCTGATTTCAAATTATTCTCTCCTTTTCTATTATTATTATTTTTTTAAGACAGCATGCATGGGTTTGTAATTTTTTGGTATTGTTTCAACTGCTCATATATTTAAGGGGAAGCCACTCATTATTACTTACCTTGAATCTGTACTAAATAAATATCATAGAACTCCATTCCAAAAAATACTCTTACTGCTCATTTTTCTTTTAAAGATTTTATTTTATTTTTTTAAAGTAATCTCTACCCCCATGGGGCTCAAACTCATGACACCGAGATCAAGAGTTGTACGCTCTTGGACTGAGCCAGCCAGGCACCCCAGGACTCTAATTATTCTTAAAACTGACTAAGCCAAATCAAACAAAGAAACAAAATCACCTCAAACAGTAATTGGTCAGGGAGAAAGAAAACAACCACCCCAGATTCTATGGAATCAATTATGACTTCACCTGAGAGACTGACACTCAAGGCTGAGGGTCACTAGACCAACAGTCAAAGATGTGAGTTTTCACTAGGGCCTCATTAGGAACCACACTAAACCATAAAATAACTACGGTGGGGTCCCCCAGGGTCTGTGTTATTTTTTTGCTTATAATGGTTACTTCAGTGATTTTTCTGAAATATCAAAGATTACATTTTTTCTAAACAATTTTGTTCTGGGGCCCCGACTCGGCTGGTGCTCTAAGCAGGTAGCCCGTAGTTGGCCTTCTGTGTAAATCTTCTGGCTTCCCCTTAACACGAGCTGGGTTTCCAAAAGTAATTCTCTTTCTGTGCCTAAGCCTCCCATATGCCAAACAGGATGGATACAGTCTACCTTCTTACCAACAAAGAACTGGCTCTTTATAGACATCACATCCAATAATCCCCATGAAAGTGTTCATGAATACTGTGACATAACATCGGTAATGGGGAGAGTCGGGGTCATTAGCTGAGGATCAGTTGGAGCTGCTTTAAAGACACATCCTAAATAAGTGTCAGACAACAGTACAGTGACTTCTTACTCACTGGGGAAATCTGGGCAAGATCAATAATCCACCTTAAAACTGGGTCATGGCAAGAAAAGGACCCTGCTCACCTGTTCTCTGTTTACTGCCCTAGGGTATCAGCAATCATGGGGTCTTTGACTTTCAACAGCTGTTTCAAACCTTTTCTTTTTTGAATGAGACAGTTTATGTAAGAAAAGTATCTTACTGAACAGAACTTCTATACTTTCCACGAAGTAGTTAGTGTCTCTTTATGGCGTGAAAAAAAAAAACCATAGAAGAGACAAAGTCAATGAATCAAGGATTATTTAATATTTAGTAATGCTAAGGATTAGCAACAGTGCAAATAACCTAGTACTCTATTGCGTCTGACATTACATATTGGTACTTGTTTGACATCAGAATTGTAATGAATTGCATCCTCTGACTAGGTAATGTATACTTCTAGAAATGCATCCTACACTTGGTCTTAACCAAAAGGCCAAGAAGTGATAGGAGACTGTATCCTAAATAACCAGAAAGCTGTAAGGACACGTGTTTGGTACAATTCTTAACAATCGAAATGCACTTTATATTGATATAAGCTAACTGTTTTCATATTAAATTTATGATGAACTTTGATGATTACCTGTTTAGAAATAATGATACAACTTAAATATTCTATAGTAGGGGGAGGATTAATTAGGGCACATTCATGGGATGCAATGGTTAATAGCCATCGAAGATGATAATAAAATAACACAGCAACATGGAAAATGCTTATAATAAAATAAGAAAGGAGAAAAACAATTTACCAAACTATATCTGTGCTGTAACTGCAACTATGTAACAATATCTGCCAGTGGAAAAGGACGGATAATTTAGGAAATATTAAACACGTGATTTCCAGGGAGGGGCCGTTTAGACAGGGTATTTTTGTGGTATAATTATTACAATACAGAATTACAAATTTAAGATGAAACGGTGAGTCAACTGGACTTATATTTAACTCTAAAATACATAATGTTGTTAAAGACTTATCATGTACATTAAATTAAGCAGCACGTCACATAATGGTATGCACAATGCTTTTCCAATTGTATCAAATGTACATATGCTTTTTAAAATTTTATATAGGTAACTGTTAACGGTGGTTACTTCTGAGTGATGACATAATAAGCATTTTTCTCTTAGGTTCCTAGTACTTTGAAAAATTTCTACGTGTATATATACGAGTTATATAATTAGTAAAATCTTTTTAAATAGTATTTTTAAACAGAAAGAATGCAATTATAAATTCATCCCTGTAAAATATTTTAAATTTGAACGTATGGAAGGGCACTTCCATGATTTTGGCAAGAAAGGCTCAGTGTCAAAAGCCATCAATCCTCCCAAAGTTAGTCCAGAAATTTAACATGATCTCAGTAAAAATAGCCATGGGATTCGAGACAAGTTAATCCAAAAGCGAGCATGAGTAAAACTAGCTAGATAGATTCTGAAAAGGACTATTCAAAAGTAAAAGCCTTTTAAATCTACAGTAATTAAAGCTACCTAGTACTAGTTCATAAACATATAGGGAGATCAAAGAAATGGGGGAAAAGTCTACAAGTAGACTAAAGAACATCTAGGAATTTCATTTTTTAATTAGGTTGACATTTCTTATTTTTTTTTTTTTCAACGTTTATTTATTTTTGGGACAGAGAGAGACAGAGCATGAACGGGGAGGGGCAGAGAGAGAGGGAGACACAGAATCGGAAACAGGCTCCAGGCTCTGGGCTAGCCCAGAGCCTGACGCGGGGCTCGAACTCACGGACTGCGAGATCGTGACCTAGCTGAAGTCGGACGCTTAACCGACTGCGCCACCCAGGCGCCCCTAGGTTGACATTTCAAATCAGTAGAGGAAAAAATGTAATAGGGAGAAAAGGGTTGCTGTATAGCCAAAAAAAAGAGTTAACTTCATACCTCACACTTTATACTAGAATAAATTTCAAAGAATCACAGATTTAGTGGTGAATAGTGAAACTAAAAAAAAATTTTTTGTAGCCTGAGAATGGGGAAGGCCTTTGATTATGATATACAACCCAGGAGTCATAAAATCAAACATTAAGTTATTTGGCTGCATAAAAAATGTCAGCACAACTAAATGAGAAATTAGAAACAAAGTCAAAAGAGAAAGGAGAAATTGGAAGGTGTATTTCAACTCCCAGAACAAAGAAAACACAACAGAAAAGTGTACCCCAAATACTTGACCATAGTTCACAGAAAATAAAATACAGCTACTAAAAAATGAAAAACTCAGCTTCGTACAAAACAAGAGAAATAAAACCAAACCACACTCCTTTACCAGGAAAATACTCTCCACTTATCAAACTGGCAAAAAATTAAAACGCCTGATAATACACAATCTGGAGGCCAGATGGGGGTGACGGGGCGCCCTTATATGTTGCTGGGGGGGCCTGCAAATTGGTCTATGTCTACGGAAGTCAGTTCAGGAATAATTTTGAAAACTGCAACTATAGATGTTCGACAAAGCAAGTTCACTTCTGGAATTTTTCTCACACGGATATACTTGTGTATTTGCGAAATAAATTATTTTTAAGGTGAGTCACTGCCCCACTGCTGCGACAGTGAAAGACTGGGGTCAACTAAGCATCCAACGATAGACACCCGTGGAATGTATCCTGATGCAGACATACCACGGGATGCCTGCAGCTCAGAGAAAAGACGAGGCTCTTTACATTCTGAAACAGAAGGATTTTCAAGACACAGTAAGTGAAAAGAGCAAGGTAAAGAAAGAATTCTATGTTTCCATTGAATATAAGCAGAAAGTGCGGGGAAGAACATACATTTAGGTATTGCTCGTGTGTGTCGAAAGAGCTTGGAAAGGCACCAGGGTCCTGCAGGCCAACACCACTTGCCTCAGGAGAGCGGTACTGGTAGGACAGGAGTTAAGGACTGATGGGTGATGCCTCCCGACATATCCCTCTAGTGCCTTGGAGTTCCGTACCATGTAATTATATTGCCGATTTATAACATAAATGTAAATTTTAAGATGACTTTTGAAAATGGATTCAGGTGGAAAGACACTCAAACAATGACTATAATATGAAAAAAAAATAATTCAGAATGTGATAGGGTGGCTGATAGGATGTGATAGGATTATAGGTGATGATTATCCCTTTTTTTCTTAACTATTATCGTTATGTACATAATATGGAAAATAATGATTTTCCTCATGAGGAAGGTGATGGGAATGGTATACAGGATTATAACCACAGACTCCAGATTATTTCCCTCATGAGGATGATGCATCTACATTGACCAAGTCTCCCTTTGGTGACAAAAGGCAAAGGTTAGTAAGGAGATAATCCACCCCCGCCTCCCCTGGCAATTAAAAATCAGACTCTTACCCATCAGATCCCGGTCTGGAAGGAGCATTATCAGATGAGTTAGAAGAGGTGGAAATCACAGAGGAAGTCACCGAGGTGATGGACAATCTCCGCAGCGTAGACGACATGATGTAGGGTAGTACAATGGATCCCGTGCGGCTTTGTTTCCGCTCAGTCAAGTTGGGTGGCTGAGGAACACAGAGCATCTCATGGTTAGCAGACCTGGAATTCAGCCCATAGGAACTGGTGCAGCTCCCCATCTGTTCGTGACAAGTGCCATTTGTATTGGCTGGCACCCACTGCTGCCTCAGCTGTTAAATACTGCAAATAGTTATATTCTATTTTTTTTTTAAGTTTATTTATTGAGAGAGAGAGAGAGAGAGAGAGAGAGAGAGAGAGACGGGGGCTGGTGCGGGGGGGCAGAATGAGCCCTGATCAGGGGAGGGGCAGAGAATGAGAGGGAGGGAGAGGATCCAAAGCAGGCTCCGTGCTGTCAGTGCAGAAGCAGGCATGGGGCTCGAACTCACAAAACATGAGATCATGACCTGTGCTGAAATCCAGAGTTGGATGCTTAACTGACGGAGCCACGGGGCACCCTGCAAATACTTATATTCTTAATTATGAGCACAATTAGGTTAAGTCTACCTTGTTTCTAAGACTTAGAGAAGAATTCCCCATAATTTGTTGTCGGCCATGTGAGAAGAAAAACCGAGCTGTTCATTACCCCCCACAAGAATAGCAAAACCCTCTGCTTCTCCAGTTCCTCCAGTTTATCTTCTTTCAGCCGCTAAAAAGGTAAAATACTGGCCTAATAGAAACTTTCAGATGATACTGTAGACCTGACGCTTAACATGTAAATGGTGAATCTTTCTTAAGTAAAGGAGCATCAATTTACTATCATTAAGAGAGGTCTTCAGTTGGGCTGATCGCCCCAATTGGCCACCATATCAAATTTACATGCCAATATTGGCCTGGATCTAATAAAAAACGACTTAAATAGGTGTAAGTCACATCCTTCCCCTTGGAACTTACATAAAAGACAAATGTTCCTAGAAGAAAGCTCTTAAGTGGTGGTAGGCTAGGAAGTTAGGCACAACCGAACCCTTGGATGACTGAAAGCAATGATTACAAAGACGCTCAGGAGAAAAAGGTAGCGGCGGTGGAGGTGTGGGAATGGCAGACAGGACTACACGGAAAGAAATGCGGAGCTTTGATTCAAGGAAAGAGAATCAGAAAATCGGGAGTTCGAGAGTAAGACAGTTAAAGAGAGCAAGGTGAACGAACTCTCATTAAAAAGAGCAGAAAAATGAAGCTGGATCCAGGCATTCAGTCGATTGTTGCAGAGAAAAATTAGGCATTATTTACTTTTTATTAAGTAATCTTTATGCCCAGTGTGGGGCTTGAACTCATGATCCCAAGACCAAGAGTCGCACGCTCTCCCGACTGAATCAGCCACGTGCCCCAGACAGAAAAGCTTATTGAGCGCGCGCATCAATCCACCCAACTTCTCGGGCACAAAGACACTGTGGGGAGAGATGTGTCAGAACTGTCGGAACAAATGACGAAATCACTATCTGCACTGCAAAATGAACTTCACGATTCTTTCTCCCCTTCAGAGGTGCGAAGAATGTCAACTTTTCGTCAAAATAAAAAAGGAATAAAGGCTAGGAAAAACACTAAGAATTGGGCTAAACGGGACAGTAATAATCAGCATCTGGGACCAGCAATGCTCCCAAATGCTAGTAGAGTGGCCCGGACACTATGGTCCCGGACCAGCAGGATCAGCACCCACTGGGAGCACGTTAGAAACCCAAACCCTCGGGGTGCCTGGGTGGCTCAGTAGGTCAAGCGTCCGACTTCGGCGCAGGTCATGGTCTTGCGGTTTGTGAGTCTAGAGCCCCACGTCTGGCTCTGGGCTGACAGCTCAGAGCCCGGAGCCTGCTTCGGATTCTGTCTCTCCTCCTCTCTCTGCCCCTCCCCTGCTCATGCTCTATCTCTCTCTGTCTCTCAATAATAAATAAACGTTAACAAAAAAAAATTACAAAAAAAAAAGAAAGAAAGAAAGAAAGAAAGAAAGAAAGAAATGCAAACCCTTGGGCACCCCACCCTAGACCTCCTGAATCGGAAGCTCTGGAGATGTGGCCCAGCAATTTGTGTTTTCGTAAGCCTTCCAGGTGGTTCGGACGGTCACTCAAGTCCGAGAACCCCTATCTAGTATGTCAACTGCGGAAGGTCACCAACAGCACATCACGTCTTCTCCAGACCCGCCCCCCGTGTTTTCCTGCCACACCTCTGCTATTTGGACTCATCTGGCAACTGAAAACCTGATCAACATCGTAACCGGTAAAGAGGCTGAGAAAGTCAACGGGCTCCTTAGACAAAGCCTACCAGTGTTATAACGCCGTAGAGCTTTTCCACTTTCTCCTTGAGCTCCCGGAAACAAGACGACAACCGGTCATGCAGTGGCTTCAGCTGCTCTGTCAGCTTCTCCCCGTGGATGCGGATCCCCTCCGTCAGCAGGGGCATCTGGGAAGAAAGGGGCATGAAAGGAAGGAGACACGGTTTACGAAAGGGGATTTTTTTCAGATTGGGAGGCTGGGGAGGGATTGGGGTGAAGGTGGACAGGTAAACTGGTAGACACAGCACGTATCGAATGAGAAAGCTACGTGTCAGTGTAGGGCTTGGGCACCGGCCACCCTGGGGTCAAGGGCTCAGAGAAATACACAAGGATACAAGCAGGCCCGTGACTGGGGAAGGGCTGACAGAAAAGGCAAACCCTCCCGAGCCGGGGAGCACGTCTGTGGATAAGCCCCTGCTAGACTGGGTGGGATGGCTGCATTTTCTCTCACTGGTCACTAAAGTAGAGACAGAGAGAGAGCGAGCGAGCGAGCGCTGTCTGGCCATACATGTCGCTAGGAGCACACCTGTAATGCTATCAGTCGCTTCAGCAGCTCAATCTTCTCCTGGTCTTCTGGATGTTCCTGCAAGTACTTCTCCGTAAAAAAAGCCTAAAAACGGGGCACAGGAGAGCATTAATTAGAACACGTCCCCATCTGTGTATTTGACCCTAGAGGGAGGGGAGGGGAGCCTGGAAGGGGGACAAATGTCTTGTTCTAGCTGATAAACCAGAAATGACTAAGGCAATCCTCCTTCCTTACCTGGGACAGCCCTTCTGCCACCGTGGACGGTTCTAAAGGTATGTGCTCTTTTGCGGTCTTTCTGGAATTGGGCAATGCCTAATCCAAGCACCTTCTTAACGATCACCAGACACACACAAGGGCACAAACCAAATAATCAGCAGCACAGCAGACTGGCATTCATTGAAAGAACTTGCCCCAAGGACCAATGCCAATGCCAATATCTGAAGGCTGTTCAGGAGATTAAGTGCACGGATATTATAAAGGAAAAAGCAAAAAACTAACAGGCTGGATATGCCTGATAGTTTTCCTGCTGCTATAAGCTGTATCACATTTTCCCCCCTATACTGAGGGAAGATTAATATCCACACCTTTTTAGTTCTCATCGATCCAGAAGGCTCTTTTGAGGACAATGTTTCACAAATATTAAATGCACACAAAAATGTCTCGTAAATAGTAAATGCAGTTTGCGTTGCGTCTTATTATACGTCAAAACCATGTCACATGTAACACTGTCAATCAACATTCGTGGTCCCAAGGGCTAAGTCCCTCTAATAGTGAAACAAAACCCAAACTCAAATTATAATCGTAGATGTTACAGAAGAGACCATTTTTAAAGACAAAATTGGGGTGCCTGGGTGGCTCGGTTGGTTAGGCGTCTGACTTGGGCTCAGGTCATGATCTTGCGGTTCATGGGTTCGAGCCCCACATCTGGCTCTGCGCTCACAGTGCAGAGTCTGCTTCGAAACTTCTGTCCCCCTCTCCCTGGGCCCATCCCCTGCTCGCACTTTCTCTCTCTCTCTAAAATAAATAAAGAAAACACTAAGAAATAAAATAAAACAAGTAAGACAGAATGAGGAAAAAAAATTAAAAAGCCTGTGGTGAACATTTCTAACAAAGTCAAAACAGGAAAACTTTTTTTTTCCTTGTACCATAGCCATCATTTCTGAGAGTGCTTTCAAAGACCAACCCTCAAAGTTCCCTTCACTCTTCTGTTCCAATACTATGGAAGTCACCTCAACCTGTAGGTAGACTTAAGAGCTCCTGAAACTACAGGATACAGTTTAAAAAAAAAAAAAAAAAAACAGCAAAAAAAAAGGGATCAGCGACCAGCCCATTTGGTATGGAACATAGAGCATGTTCAGATTCAACCTTGCGTGAAGATGTTATGGGTTGAACACTGGCTTCCTCCCCGCCCCCATTCATATGTTGAAGTCCTAGCCCCGGTACCTCAGAATGTGACCTTAGTTAGAAACAGGATTATTGCAGGTGTAGTTATGGTCACCATGGAGTGTCAGAGTGGAGTCACAGTGGAGTAGGACGAACCATCGATTCCACGTATCTGATGCCCTTATAGAAAGGGGAAGGTTGGACACTGGGAGGACGCTGCGTGAAGAGGGATAAGGGTGCCAAAGGTTGCCAGCAACCCCTCAGAAGCTAGGAGAGAGGCTGGGGCGCCTGGGTGGCTCAGTCGGTTGAGTGTCCAACTTCGGCTCAGGTCATGATCTCACGGTTCTTGAGTTCGAGCCCCGTGTTGGGCTCTGTGCTGACAGCTCCGAGCCTGGAGCCTGCTTCTGATTCTGTGTCTCCTTCTCTCTCTGCCCCTGCCCCACTTCTCGCTCTCTCTCAAAAATAATAAATAAAACATTTAAAATTTTTTTTTTTAAAGAAGAAGCTAGGAGAGAGGCAGGGAACAGATCCTTCCTCACAGCCCTCAGAAGGCACCAACCCTGCTGATGCCGGATTTCAGGTTACTGGGCTCCGGGACTGTGTTTGAAGTCACCCTGTTTGTGCCTTTGTCCCAGCGGCCCTAGCAAACTAACACCACAAGGGCTATAAATATATGCAGGCTGAGTATCACAAACAGGAAGCAGGACAGCACATCTGGAGAACACACCCTGTAGCCGGATTCATAGTTAGGGAGAAATGGATGAAAAAGTAGTATGGCTTTAATCTTCATCCACTTTCACCCTCCAAACAGAAGCAGTGTGAAGCTTCAAAAGTTAAAAACGATTTTTTGATGTAAGATGAAAGGCACTGAGATTCCGGAACATTGGTTGAGTCAAGGACCACTGCAGCAGAGTGCCCTGAAATTCCGTTTTTTTTTTCCGAAGAGTCCTGCCTTGCGAGAGAAAAGGGCTGATGAATTCCGGCAGTGATTAATGGGCTGCTTTAAGAGAGGTCACCTGTACTGGTAGGTGATGATAGATTCCCCAGTTAATTGCCATGGGGGTCATGGGGGTCATGGCGATCAAGGAATTTACCTTTTTTCCTATGCTTCAAAATATACAAATGCATACCATATTAATTAAAAGTGCAATGTAGTATTTTTAAAAGTCTTGAAATCTATCTGTGTACGTAACCAACTTCCCCTTTAAAAATTTTTTTAAATTAGAAGTCTCTGACATTGGAAAAAACTTCATAGGAAATTACATACTATTCACAGACTACTGGCATATATGAATTTGAATTCGAACAGGGCCATTCTGTAAAAAAAACAACACTTGAGGGGCGCCTGGGTGGCGCAGTCGGTTAAGCGTCCGACTTCAGCCAGGTCACGATCTCGCGGTCCGTGAGTTCAGGGCCTTGTCGGCGGCTCTGGCTGATGGCTTTCGAGCCTGTTTCTGATTCTGTGTCTCTCTCTCCCCCTCCCCGTTCATCTCTGTCTCTCTCTGTCCCAAAAATAAATAAACGTTGAAAAAAAAAATAAAAAAAAAAAAAACAAAAAAAAACAACACTTGGAAAAACACATCGAAATTAGTACTAGATAGTTTACAGGACACAAAAACCCACCACAATCCTTACAACGTTATATAAAAAAAAAAAAAAAGGGATTATATTCTGGATCCTAGTTTTGTATTGAATTCCATGATAACACTGGAGGTTATTATCAACACTAAGCACAGGCAAACTAGAACTGATCTCTGGTGTTGGGTCTTTCCCAGCTGCTAGGTGTAGTGATTCTGAAGGCTGAAAGGTTGAAGGGAAAGGAGAAAAAAGAAGATTGTTATAGCAACAGCCGCAGAGCACTGCCCGTTCAGATCACCTTTGTCTCCAAGCAGACAGGAGAGAGGAAGAAGTCAACACCGATCAAGCCTCAACTATAAGGCAAGTGTTCTGCGATGTTCCTTATATACAAGATAAGCGTCCAGCCGCTTCTGTGTGGTAGGCATTTTCCTCATTTGCTTGGGGTACGAAGCTTGGGGCTCAAAGAGGTACGAAGGTTGGGGCTCAAAGAGGTGACGTATCTCACCCGAGAGCACATGGTGGCCAATGGGAAGCTGGGATTGGGTCACAGGAATGACTGATTCTAAAGCCCCTGGTCTTCTCAGGACATTGTGTATAAATGGAAATAACAGAATCAGCCCACCTAATAACCACTCGCCCTTCCCGTTCATCTCCTTTTCTTTCCACTCACTCTCCCGGCTACTCCACAGGAGTGTAGTAGCCAAATGTTTGTTTATATTCAGCAAGAGGACTCCAAAATTACTTAGCCACTGGACACATAGTGAATAATTAAAAATCTTGCCTCCATTAATTGCATTTTTTTTTACATGTTGGATACATTAACTCCGTTAAACACAATTTTTTTTAAAGTTTATTTTATTTTATTTTATTATTTTTTTTCAACGTTTATTTATTTTATTTTTGGGACAGAGAGAGACAGAGCATGAACGGGGGAGGGGCAGAGAGAGAGGGAGACACAGAATCGGAAACAGGCTCCAGGCTCTGAGCCATCAGCCCAGAGCCCGACGCGGGGCTCGAACTCACGGACCGCGAGATCGTGACCTGGCTGAAGTCGGACGCTTAACCGACTGCGCCACCCAGGCGCCCCTTTAATGTTTATTTTAGAGAGAGAGACAAAGACAGAGACAGAGGGTGGGTGGGGGAGGGGCAGAGAGGGAGGCACAGAATCCAAAGCAGGCTCCAGAGTCTGAGCTGTCAGCACAGTTCCTGAAGCAGGGCTCCAACCCATGAGCTTGAGATCATGACCTGAGCCGAATTCGGACGCTTAACCGACTGAGCCACCCAGGTGCCCCTAGAAGCCAATTTTAGAGAGAGCACAGTTCTGCCTTTCCCACGGGTGCTTCTTCAGTTCTAGAGCATCTTTACCTCTGGGGCCGCCTGTAAGCTTTCTACTTCTCGGTGGAGAAAGGGAGAGGAAACAACAGGTAAATCAACCAGAGATGGTATATTAGATTGATCTGTCAGTGACTCTGTATCAGGCAGTGGCCCAACCCTGCCTGAGCTGCTGAGGATCTCTAGGAGGTGTGAGGTCAGGGATCAGCTTTTCATTAATTTCATTTGCTCATTCGTAAAAAGGGCACAGTGAAAAACTCTCTCAGCCAAGTCATAAGAAACTAATGCACCAGCCGCACAGAGCCACAAGGCGAGAGGCACGGAATGACATGGGATTCAGTGGGGATTCCAGGGCCCAGCCCACCTTTTCATAGTTGGAGTATCCTCCCATGACAGCCGGGTCTACGATGCCACTGAGCAGCATGGAGAGAGGATGCACAGAGAGGGTACGGTCCCAGGCGTGTTGTTGAACACAGTTGCTGATCTTCTCATTGGTGAGTTCCATGGTTTCTATGGCATTCTCCAGGGGACTGATTTCTTCCTGCGATAGTGGACAAGGGAGTGAAAGGGCATTTTGTGAATTCACAGCAAGTTTTGAAAAAATCCTAAGTGTTCCTCTCATTTTATTTTTAAAAGTATTTATTTATTTATTTTGAGAGGCCGGGGACAGAGAGAGAGGGAGAGAGAATCCCAAGCAGGTTCCGTGTGCTCAGTGCAGAGCCTGATGTGGGACTCGAACTCACGAACTGTGAGGTCATGTCTTGAGCCGGAATCAAGAGACAGATGCTTAACTCACTGAGTCACCCAGGCGCCCCCTAAGTGTTCCTTTTAAAAGGTTTAAAATTCTCACCAGGCTATAAAACAGTAAAGTTGTGCTTGTCAAGGTTATGTCTATTTGGATCCCACACTTACTTGAAATGGTCTTGCTAAGTTGTGAAGTAAACTACTTAAAATGTCCTTAGAATGCACAAGGATGACCTAAAAATTAGAGCTATAGTAGTGATCATTTCTCGGGGCAAAAGGTCTACCAGAAATCTGGGGGGGAAAAAAAAGGTAGATGTAATAATGAGGGCCTTTTAGGCAAAGCTTCCTCAGATATTTCTGAGAAGATAAGTGACAAGCCAGTAGCAGGATATCTGATCCAAGATACTTCTGCAACGTCCCAAAAGTTCACTGGCAAGGGGCTCGATGTTTCTGCCACGAGCAAAGGTAAGTTTTGGAAGCCACACATTCAAACCATACCTAAGTCACCTTAGTATGGGTTCTGTGGTCAGAAGCAGCCAGAAATAACGGGATGTATTAGAATATCCAAGCTGGGGTCACCTGGGTGGCTCCGTTAAGCGTCTGATTCTTGATTTTGGCTCAGGTCACGATCTCATGGTTTGTGAGATCGAGCCCTGCCCCCGGGCTCCGTGCTAATCGTGCAAAGCCCACTTGGGTTCTTTCTCTCTCCCTTTCTCTGCCCCTCCTGCTCACACGTGCTCTTTCTGTCTCAAAATAAACAAACATTAAAGTTAACAAAGAGTATCCAAGCTGAATCTGGGACGAAAATGAAATTAAGATTCAATATAGGTTCAAGCAATTCCTGTGGGCAAGTGTTCAAAGTCAGGTTTCAAGAAAACCCGCGTTCTTCATTTTAGCCACTGCCAGACAAATGACCTCCTACCACAGCCTGATTCCAAAAGTCTCTGTCCAAAAATCATATTCACACTTGAGGGACAGTGATATTATTGCTAGTGGCATGGAAGACATCGGATTTCCGTTCAGATTTGTTCAGGATATACTTCTTCAAAGTGTATTTCATGCCAAGTACCGGGCTATGCTCTACAGTTACAAAAGTGATTAAGACAGAATTCATGGTGGGGAGGAGCCTACGGTTTTAGTGGCGTCTCAAGACACGTAAGCATGGTAGTAACTTGTTAGAAATAAACCCGGGTTGGGGCGCCTGGGTGGCTCAGTCGGTTAAGCGTCCGACTTTGGCTCAGGTCATGATCTGTGGTTTGTGAGTTCGAGCCCCGCGTCGGGCTCTGTGCCGACAGCTCGGAGCCTGGAGCCTGGAGCCTGCTTCAGAATCTGTGTCTTCCTCTCTCTCTGCCCCTCCCGTGCTCATGCTCTGTCTCTCAATAATAAATAAACGTTAAAAAAAAATGTAAAGAAATAAACCCGGTTGCAACGGGGCACAGAGAAAGGGCATCTAATCCCAACTGGGAGTTTCAGAGATGGCTTCCTGGCGAAGCAGGTACCTAACTGAATTTCAGTGGGAGTTAGTTAGGTTGAGAAGGAGCACTTTGGGCAGAGAAAATGCTGCATCATCAAGGAGGGTTGAAATAGCACGGAATGAGCAGTTTCGTTCCAGAAGATTCCTGAAGAGATGAGGTGGCAGAACCGAGTCACAAAGATTCTGCATGTGTGTCCTAAGGAGCAGGGGCTTTATGCTCTAGGCACTGGGGAGCCACGGCAAGGTTTTGAGCATGAGAGTGATACGCTCAGCTTTCCACTGTGGAAACTCACACTCTGAGACAGTGTGGAAAACAAGCCTGTGAAGGCCCAAGCAGGAGCCCAATGAGGGGGCTTTTTCCGTGGCATCCACCAGAGATGAATGAGGGACTAAAACAGGGTACAATAGGAGAGCTGGAAAACAAACAAACAAACAAACAGATTTAATAAATATTAAGAAGGTAAAAGGGTCAGCTTCGGGAATGCTGGAGAAGGGAGAGCGTGGGGGGACTGGTAGACGTGATCAGCCACGAATGAAAGAAGAGGAAATGTTTTGGGAGAGAAGAATCTGATTGGCAGGAAACTCCAAGGAGACGTTCTGAAAATGGTTTGGGGCGCTTGGTGGGATTATGAGGAGACAAGACTCATTTGGTCATAAAAGAGTCATTCACTGTGAGTAACCTTTAGGGTTGGTTTGTAACATCAGTTTTACAGAGGAGTTCTATTACACAAGCATGCCTTTTATTTCTCTTCTGGAAAACAAAGTTGGCCAGAGGAGGCTGGCCAGCCTAGTGAGAACCGGAGGGGCACTTAACAAAGGCCCTTATTATATTTGGAGACACAAAAGAATTTTCTGAATCCCAATTCCGAGTGACTCACCGTTGAAATCTGTTTGACTTCAAACCACTTGAGGATGCCAGGAAAGGTATACGCAGTCGTATACGTGGTCCTTTCGATCCACATGGTCTGGTGGAAGGAAAGACAATAGGAAGGGTCAGTTCCCAGGCCAAAATGGCCAGGGTTGAGTTCAGTGAGATTCTGTTCTCAAATGCTTCCTTAGTGAATGGGCATCAAAATGTTTAAAGCTGCAAGGGATCATCTACTTGGGCCCTCTCACGTTCTAGAGGGGAAATGTGAGGTCCAAAGAGGCGTGACTTGCTCCAGTCATACTCAACGCAACATCGGAGCCCCACGGTAGAGCCCCTTTTTTCGGATGGGTGCCAGCCTAGAGCTTTCCACTGAGCTGGCCTGCTGTCTATGCAGTAAGCACGTAGAACCTCTACCCCTCGGGCCGCCATGGTTTCTGCTGTCTGTGCCGGTCAGGTGGAAAGCCTCCATTTGGATGGCAACTTGACCTTGTTTTAGAGGGCAAAGTGCGTGGACTCACAGCAAATTCATTATCTGGATCCTTTTCTCCTTTCCGGAATGGCCGGGAATACTGGAATTGTTGTACTTCATTGGCTCTGTAGTAGCTGGGGAGAGAGAGACATCGCCACAACGCTGGAGTTTCTCTTACAACAAGCGCTCCTTGAGCAAACTTCAAATAAGCCCTGGGCCGCGTCTTCCACAGACCGAGTCTTATCCCCTAAGCGATCTCAAAACAGACACAGTCTTCATAAGGAAGGCGGCAGGGGGTGCACATTTTATTGCACATCTTAATTTTCTTATTTACGGATCCATTCCACAGCTCGCCATTTAAAAAGGCGTATGTACTCGTATCCACGTTTGTGATCGCATTTGTAATAGCTTTATCACAGTTCTAGCAATCCTTCTAATATTTTAGCTTCTGAGGAAAAAGACCGGGACCTGTGATCACTGGGGAACCCACCAGGCAAGGTGAGGTCAGCCACTCCTAAGTGAGTGCTTCCCGGGTGGAATTGAGATCCAGGAGATCCAAAACCTAACAGTGAAATTCTTGATCTCCCTCTGCCTAAAAAAACCCCAACCCCCACCCCACCTGCCCCAAATCCCTTCGAGTTACCAAGCTCATATTTTATACTGAAAATAAAGAGTTGCTGCGGTCTGAACACTTGGGTTCCCCCCAAGCGCATATGTTGAAATCCTAACACCCCCCCACCCCCCCACAACGTGATGGTATTAGGAAGTAGCCTCCGTGGTAAGTGCTTATGTTCTACCCTCTTGAATGGGATCAGCGCCCTTGTAAGAGACCCGAGAGATCCATCACCCTTTCTGCCACGTGAGGACACAGCAAGAAGTCGATGTCTGTGAACCAGGAAGCAGGTCCTCACCAGACACCAAATCCGCTGGAGCCTTGACCTTGGACTCCCCAGCCTGCAGAACTGTGAGCAATGAATGTCTGTTGTTTATAAGCCACCCAGTCTGTGGTATCCTGTTAGAGCAGCTCCAGAGGTTTAAGACAACAGAAGGTTTTCCAAACTGTAATGAGCTCAAGGCTTTGGTGTTGAGGTACTTCTAGATCAAGTGTGTCAGAGAAAAAAAATGCTTCTAAAAACAAACCAAAAGAGCCCCTCCTTACTTTAAGATCTGCTCTGGAACTGGTTTGTCCTTGTAGCTGGGAGGCAGGCTCATCACTGGCTTTACGGTGAAACACTGCATGTCTGACGAGCTCATTAAGGAAAAGGGGCTGGGCCATGAAGCTGTCACAGGCAGAAAGGACTGCTTGTCCCCCCCACCCCCCCCCCCCCCGGCTTTACAGATGGGACATGGTACCTGCATTAATTATTCTTTTTCACTGAATGCCAGGACTGCACGGAAAACAGGGTTTCCTTATGTATTATCAAAATGCCTGATTAAGCCACAATCCTAGGACATTTTTTGGTCAGACACCTGGCAAAACAACCTTGCCATAGGAAAATAGACATCAATGAAATATCGGGGCGGGGGGGATTAGACACAGTTTTAAATAATTTCTTTTCGACAAGCATGCCTCTGAAATAGCCAGACTCCAGAGCCTGTGCAATAGGAATTTCTGGGATCTTTGGATAGCACTTGTTTATTGAGGGCCATAGCTGGGGACTGATGTAGATTTTGTCTTTCCTTTTTCTTCCTTCCTTCCTTCCTTCCTTCCTTCCTTCCTTCCTTCCTTCCTTCCTCCCTCCCTCCCTTCCTTGTGAGGGAGGGGGAAAGGGGGAGAGGCAGAGAGAGAGGCACAGGAAGACAGAATCCCAAGCAGGCTCCGTGCTGTCAGTGCAGGGCCTGACGCAGGATTCAGTCTCACAAACCATGAGATCACGACCTGAACTGAAATCAAGAGTAGGACTTAACTGACTGAGCCGCCCAGGCGCCCCTGAAGTAGGCTTTCCAGACGGTACCTCTAATAAAACACAACTAACAGGTGGATGTGATAAATCTTTTACAGATGAGGAATCTGAGGCTCCGAGATGAGCCAGAGCACGTAACTGGTAAATGGTAAAGTCAGGCTTCAAAGCCAGCTCGGGGGTGAGACCTGAGTCTCTGACTTGATAGTCTGAATTAGTAATAACCTTTTATTTCTGGCCCTTGCCAGTGCAGATCTACCGTTTCGAAATCTGCAGCATTTAAACTGGAGTTTCAGGCCATGCATCCGGACAGAACAGTGACTTCCAGGATTTCTGGGTGAAGTCTCTAGACCCTGGCACCAGGACACGTACTCAGAATACAGAATTAGAACTCACAGCTGCTGGGGCGCCTGGGTGGCTCAGTCGGTTAAGCGTCCGACTTCAGCTCAGGTCACGATCTCGTGGTCCGTGAGTTCGAGCCCCGTGTCGGGCGCTGGGCTGATGGCTCAGAGCCTGGAGCCTGCTTCCGATTCTGTGTCTCCCTCTCTCTCTGCCCCTCCCCCGTTCATGCTCTGTCTCTGTCTCAAAAATAAATAAACGTTAATTAAAAAAAAAAATAAAAAATAAGAATCCTCAGCTGCTGAGGGGCGCCTGAGTGGCTCCGGGCGTTGAGTATCCAACTTTGACTCGGGTCATGATCTCCTAGCTCGTGAGTTCAAGCCCTACATTGGGCTCACCACCGTCAGTGCAGCAGAGCCTGGCTTCGGATTCACGGTCCCCCACTTACACACGCACGCTCTCTCTCTCTCCAAGATAAATAAGCAGTAAAAAAACCAAAAGAGAAAACAATTCACAACTGCTCAGTGAGAATCTCTCCGTGGCGATCCTCACGCATGAGAAAATCTGAGCACCACCAGGCTGGGCCTCACACCGGTCTAGCTGACAGAGCGTTTTAATGATCTCCTTTCTATCTGGATCCTCACAGAAGTGTTACTAGGTATTTAGGGAAAACAGACTCACACCTCGTATATGAGAAAGCAAGACCTGGAGGAACGAAGAAGTTTCGACAAGGTCTAGTGAATACGCAGGAAGGGCCGGGGGCCAAGTGACAGGAATTCAGTTCTTCGAAGACCTCTTTTCATTCCCACACCACAGAGGCAGCTCGGTGGTTTTCTGAACCCTCATAACCCAAACAAGGATTTATCCTCAAAGACTAGTCTTTTTCCAAGCACCTACTGTGTGTTAATGGGTCGCTGTTCTCTTAAAGGTCTATTGGTCTGTTGTTATCGTGAATCTTTCTACACCGGTACCTATGATAATAGGCAATATCTATTGAATTTGTATTAATACCAGGCATTGTTACTAATCTTTGACATGTATTTGCTCCACCTTTACAAAAATTCCATGAGAAAGAATGAACACCATCCCCATTTTATAGATGGGAAAACTAAGGAGCATAGATCATTAAGGAACTTGCCCTTAAGAGACATAGTACATGATAGAGCTGAGACTCGAACCCAGGCACTGAGGCTCCAGAGACTTTTTTTTATCTACCATGCCACACCGGCTCTGTCTTACCTACCTCTCTTTATTCTGAACACTGTTCAATTTTAGAACATCTTTATTTTAGTACAAAACACATGAAAAGGCTTCAAAACTAATTTTGTCATGGAGCTCGCTTATTTACTTATTTATAAAAAAGCATGTAATAGGGGTGCCTGGGTGGCTCCTCGTGGTTCGTGGGTTCAAGTCCTGTGTCGGGCTCTGTGCTGACAGCTCAGAGCCTGGAGCCTGCTTCGGATTCTGTGTCTTCCTCTCTCTGCCCCTCCCCCAGTTACACTTTGTCTCTCTCTCTCTCTCTCTCTCTCGAAAACAAATAAAAACATCTAAAAAAAAAAAAAAAAAAAAAAAAGAAAGCATGTAATTAATTTTTCAGTAAGTCATTGCATGTTACAAAAGAAGAGCCAGGCATCTTCATCCAGGATCCAGGATCCTGAGCAGGAACGCTCTGTCCTCAAGCTCTCCATCTGGCTCTAAAACATCCTTTCCTATTCAAGATCTGCTTACCATCTCTCTCCTCTACTTCATAACCATGAGCTAAGGACATTAGGGCCCCAAAGCTTTGACACAGAATGGGAGGCTGAGTCAGAATGGTTACACGGGTGGTCGGGGGACCGAACCCTTAGCTTCTGGGGCCGGGCCGGGCCGTGTCTCCCCAAGGCAAGGATACACTGTTTTGGGGACGACTTGATTTCCTCTCCCGGGGGCGTGGTGCTGGTCATCTTCTCGGCATTGGGGAACTGCGTCAGCAACCTCAGGCTGAAGTCTTCTCGCCTCTCGTACTCCTTTCCCCGATAGATAAAGATTTTGTTCTGCAGGTCAGAGACAGCAAGGCGGGTCAATATGAAGCGTGAAGGAGCCCTGGAGGAGCCCGGTGCTGAGGAAGCCATGCCCTCCCAGCCAAAGCGCCATCAAGTTCTCACTGAATACTCACTGCGCGCCCTGCACCAACCATCCTATCCGGCAAGAGCTCATGGGTGATTTGGGCATTAAGGTCAAGGGCATAAAGCTGCTTCCGCAGTGCTTCTCGTAGTGTGGCCCAACGACCACAGACCAGAGGAGTGCTCTGCACTCAGCCACAAGGCAATGAGGGGCTTGTGCCCTGATATGGATCTGTGATGTCACCGGGCACAGTGTTGAATTCAGCGGATTTTTTTTTTTTTCCCCAGAGCAAGACATTCTCAATGAAGGAAGGAAGGGCAGCGATTTCTTCCCAGGCAATCCCTCCTCCCGTCAAGATCCAGTATCGGTCTGTGGACCAGCGCTTGGAGTGGCACTGACATACAGGACGGGAATGCATGAAGAGAGTCAACACAACAAACTTTCACTTGGGAAGAACAGGAATGCATTAGAGCTGTCCCTAGATTATCCCGAAAACCACCGTGGAGGGCAATGTCAACGTCTCAAGGAAAATAACTGCACTAAATACTGTTCTCTCCATTCTAACCTACATTCTTCTTCTGTTTAACAAAATTAATAAAATTGGGCCTTTTTTTTTTTTTTTTTTTTTTAAGAAAGAAGTTTCCTAAGTCTCAGGCTTAGGAGTAATCTGATTCACGGCTGATGTCGCCCAAGTTAAGTTCTAACGCAGCCACGGTTTGAAGGTTTCTGCTCACCTGCTCATCACAGATGAGTACTTAGCATTGGCAGCCCAGACATGAGCCATTTTTAACTAAAACTGGGGCCCATACTGTCCGGGAAAATCGCTTTTAGAATTTACTTGTCCATTCACATAACCAACACGCATTGGACAAACACAGTGGACCTGCTAAGACACGAGGGATATGATGATGCCCCCATGCTCACAAAACTCAGCTTCTGACAGAAACAGAAAACAAGTAAATATGACAGTTGATACAAGTAACTTGAAGGCTATGTATCTTGTAGGATACATGCTGATGGCAGTCGAAATTGCCAGATCTTTGGGAAGGGATGATGACAGTTTTTCCAAGCCGGGAAAGATTTATGTGACCAATTCCTGCCTCGTGAAATGCCATCGTTCAGGCAAAGCGGCGGCAGGCAAGGAAGCTGAGCACAGGGTGGCACGAAGTGTGGGACGTGGGCAACAAGGTGAACGGGAGCAGACAAGCACAAGGTCAGCACGGACCAGCCCGGATTGCAAGGGAGGGCTTCAGGGACGACGTTGAGATTGACGGGGCCCAGGTGGACAGATAGGGTAAGGAGAGGAAAAGAGAAGGGCTGGACCACCAAAACAGGCACGGTAGGTGAACAGAAGGATAAGGCCACGGGGCAGACAGGATGGAACTGAGGTAGAAGAAATAAGCTTGGATGAGCCAGACCAGTGAAGGGCAGGCACAAGTTCCGAAGGCCCAGGGAACGTACTGGAGGTTCTGCAAGGGGGGAGTGATAGGATGACAGAAGCAGTCTGGACAGGCTCGTCTGAACAGTGGAGTGCACGTTCAGCTGCAGGAATCCTAGGCAGGACTGAGTGGGAGGAGAAGCTACGAGATCTGGTGTTTGACTCTGGTGTTTGGTGAAGGGCCAGCAGATGGGGAGAATCAAGGAGGATTCGGGGATGCCTGGCCCAGGAGCAGGAAGAACATGTGCCGCTGACAGAAACGGGGACGAAGGGGACCGGGCTGGGCTTGGGGGGAGGCGGACAACACAATTTCAGATAGTCTGAGTTTGGGGAAATAGTCCGTAAGACAGAAGGGCACGTAGGTTAGATCGCTGAGGAGGCATTTATATTTTCCAGCACCTTTGATAACACAGAGCATCCACAAACCACTTGACGGCGTGTAAAGCACTCCTATGCGCTATTTATTTCCTTCTGAAAACGGCCCTGTGGAGTGGGCAGTATTTCTCCAATTTACACATCAGAAAAGGGCGGAGGTCATAGGATTTGGCTGACATCACAGAGTCACCCAGACGATGATCTGGACCCCGATGTCTCAACTGGAAAGTCTAGTCTTTTGGCTGGCCCACCGACCCACGTCCGTTATGTCACGTGACACAGCAGTCACACAAGTATGGCAGGCACCACTGCCTTACCAGGACTCGAGTGCCGAGACTGAGGGCCGATTTAAGACTAGAACCTACTGCAAGGCTCCTTCCTAGACCCTCTCCCCTTGGTGCCCCATTCTCTTTCCCTATGCTACCTCATCCAGGTGCAAATAACCCACCAACTTTATCTCCAGCCGGGAACTTTCCGTTGAGTTCTGGATCCATACATCAGATTGTTGACTTGCATCTTTCGGATGTTCCAAATTTCCCTCACACGGAGTATGGCCGAAACCAGACTTTCACAAAGAACGTATAAAGATGGGACAGGCCCTCTGCGATCCGGTACCCAGAGCCATCTGCCCCCATTCTCTACTTGTCCTCTTGGTCATGTGCTTCCAGGCTCAAGGCTTCCGAACCTGCTGTCCACACTGCCTGGTACCCCATCTCATCTCTTGACGGTTACCTGCCTTATTCCCTCTCTTCTTTCAGGTTTTTGCTCAAGTGTCATTTTCTTACTGACACCTTTCCTATTCACTCCATTTAAAATTGTAGCTCCACCCCCATCACCTGCCTCTCTATTCACCTTCCCTGACGTCTTCTCCTTGATACTTATGGAGCGTCTACACGGCGTGAGGCATTGTTCTAGGCCGTCTGACATACCAAATGTCTCACTTACATTTTGTGTGTGTTTCCAAGCTAGTATATAAGCTCCATTATTTCAAGGATTTGGGTTGCTTTGGACCGTGCCCCCATGCGTATAACAAGGCACAAAGTAAGAGTTCAATAAATATTTATTCAATGAACGGATTGACTCTATCCTTTTCCTTTACTGCTATCTTAGTGGATGGCTCCACAGCCCCTCTAGTACACAGGCCAGAGACCTACTCCCCTCCTTCCTCACGCACATGGCCCAACAATAATCACCAAGTACGAAATCCCTCCATTTTTCCTACAGCTACTTCCCTAGGCCATCCCAACATCCCTTCTCTCAAAATCTGCGACAGTTTCTAGTGGCTTATCTATACACAACCGACCACTGCCCATACCAGCCAGACGATGACCTTGCCAACACCTAGAATCCACAATGGCTCCCTCCTGCTCTTGGGATGCTGACAACACAGCTGGGGCAACCCCACGGCCCTGCCCGGTGTGATCTCCCCCACATTTTGTGCCTCAACTCCCTGCTCACCTCACTCTCTCTGTGACCACCGTGCTGGTCTTTCATTCCCAGGCACAGCCATGCCCTCGCCTGCCACTTCCTCTGCCTGGAATGTTTCTTCCTATCACCCTGATCTCCATAACACCAAGCTCACATTGCAGTCGGAACAGCAATTTCCCAGGAAGTCTTTCTCGACTCTTACGAAACGCAGGCATGATTCGCAAAGAGTAAAATCTACCCCCCTGTTTGCTGTAAAATTCTGCCAGTTTTGGCAAACATAACCATGACCACAATCAAGATACAGAACAGTTTCACTACCACTCAAAATTTCCTGATACTTGTGAAGCCCAACCCTCCCCAACAGCTACCAGATGACGGCTCATCTGTTTTCCATCTCTACGTTAAGCGTAACAGATGCCATATAAAGAAAATCAGAGAGGGGCGCCTGGGTGGCTCAGTCCATTAAGCGTCCGACTCTTGGTTTTGGCTTAGGTCATGATCTCATGATTGGGGAGATTGAGCCCCGCATCAGGCTCTGCTGACAGTGTGGAACCTGCTCATATTCTCTCTCTCTCCCTGTCTCTCTGCCCGTCCTCCACTTGCGTGCTCTCTTTCTCTCTCAAAATAAAAAACAAACGTTAAAGAAAAAGAAAGAAAATCAGAGAGTACGTAGACCTTATGCTCTAAGTTCTTTTACTTATTAGCACAATGCACCGGGATTCACCCACATGCTTGTATGTATCAGAACTTCATTCCTTTAAAAAAAATGTTTTTTAAGTTCATCTATTCATCTTGGGAGAGACAGAGGCAGCACAAGTCGGGGAGGGGCAGGGAGAGAGGTGGGGAGAGAGAGAATCCCAAGCAGTCTCCATGCTGCCAGTGCAGAGCCTGACTTGGGCTCGAACTCACGAAACCTTGAGATCATGACCTGAGCCAAAATCAAGAGATGGATGCTTAAGCGACTGAGCCACCCAGACGCCCCAGTACTTTATTCCTCTTAATTACTGAGTAATATTCCATTGCATGGCTCTTTTGACATTTTTTTTAATCCCCTCATCAACTAAGGGACACCTGAGTTGCATCCAGTCTTTGGTGATTATAAATAATGGTGCTATAAACAATCATGTGAATTTTTTTTTCATGTGAACCTAAGTTTTTATTTTACTTGGGTTAATATTTCAGTAAATACTCCCTGGTTAACCAACGCTTACAGCACAGGATACCCGTTTTGGTCAGTTTCAATTTCCATTTGTTTGCATGATTATTCAATTAACACTATACCCATTAGGCTGTAAACGCCATGAGAGTAAGGGCCATATCTGATTATAATCTGCCTAGTATGTGCCTGGTACACAGTAGGCACTCAGCAGACGTTACAGAATGAATGAATGAGTTACCTCCTCCTTGGGAATGATGCAGCATGCAGAGTACTTCCTTTCTACATTTTCTTAAATTAGGGGACGGAAAATGGATCATACATCCAAACACGGCTACCTCTAAAGAGGCTTCCGTTTGTGCCGGAAAAAATACGATTTTGCCTGTTTTTTAGATTTTAGAATCAGTGTCCCGTTATAGAAAAATTTGGGGAAGGAAAAACACGGTCCTTTTCACTATTACAACGCCTGTTTTTATTTTTGTGAAACTTTCGCAGTCCCGCCCTTGGGATATTTGCTTTCAAACTGGCTCTGGCTGGAAATAAAATAAACAAGGAAACACATCAATCCACACTTCCCCCCAGCCTGATCTGTAGCAGCAGACCAGTGGAGGGGAGGGTTCTGTTTTTCCCCTTTTCATTCCGCCTGGGAAAAGTCATTTTACAATCGAGCTGCCAGAATACCAGAGGCTGGGGGCGTGGGGTGAGGACGCCGGCCACGCAGGAAGTGGTTTTCCTCCCCGACCTCCCACAGTGAGAACATGGGCCTCCAGCTGCTAACACACTAGGCCCATCTGGAACAGAGATGAATACCTTCCCTCCTTCAGATGGCATGGCTTAATGGCTTAGAGGACCACCCTGAGGATTCTTACCCGTAGGAAAGAAGGAAAGCCCTGTCCATAGTATCCAACGGCAAAGTACTCAGGCTGAGGCCTCATTGCCTTAATGATGTTCTCATAAAACGAGGCTCTTTTTTTCTGGAAAACAAAACAAGGCATTCCACAGGGAGGTTACAAGGGCACCACTGAGGGGTGGGGAAGATCAGAGTATTGTTCGCTTTGTTGTTTCTCATGGATCAACAGATAAATGAAAAGTCTTTGGAAAATATCTTGTGGGCCAAGACGTTATCCTTTTCTTGGATCGAAGGGTTTGGACGTGGGTCCGTGAATGAGCCTTGGAGGGTCTAGCAATCTCTGAAGCTGCATGCAGAAAGATGAACACGTGTGCATATGCCTCTATGGAGGGGGGCAGTGTTTAGTGATGGACAGTTTCCTGAAGAGGGTTCAGGACCCCTAAAAGGTTCAAAAGCTCTTTCTGAGATTCACGGAGGGTGGCTGCACTGAAACAGAGACCCGTGAGGAAAGATCAGGAATCTTCTGGTTCTCACAGGTGGTTTGGATTAAAGTCCTTGGTTCAGCCACAAGTGCCCAGAAGGTGGTGGTGATGTTCTGTTTTTCAGGATCTGGTACCAGCCCTAATTTCAATCCTTCCCACGGGAATAGGTTTCCCGGCCAGGGCTGAGAGTCAGACTTAAAGAAAGCAAAACAGGTCGCCAGACCTGGGGTCTTTGAGGCATGTCCCGGCCCCTCCCACAATGGTCCCATGACTGCACGACTACTCTATTGAGGTGAAGGTTTCTATCACAGTGTTTGCTTCGAAGGGTAACACGTTACATCACGAACAGCTCGGTTAAGTTCAGGAAATGAGTAAGTGATTTTTGTGTGTGAGACTAGGAACTGGCACAGCACACGGGCAAGCTCTTTTCCAAGTGACCTTGACAACTATCCCCTCAAATAAAATACACTTGACCCTTGAACAGTATGCGTTTAAAATGTTTGAGTCCACTTACAGGCAGATTTTTTTTTTGATAAAGACAGTGTAGGACTGGAAATATTTTCTCTTCCTTTCAATCTTCTTAATGTCTTTCCCCAGCTTACTTCATTGTAAGAATATAGAATACACGCACAAAATACGTGTCGATCAACTGTTTATGTTATCAGGCAGGCTTCTGGTCAGCAATAGGCTATTAGTAGTTCAGTTTTGGGGGAATCAAAAGTTATGTGCGGTTTTTCAGCTGTGTGGGGGGGTTGGCGCCCCTCACCTCCCCACCCCGCGTTGTTCAAGGGTCAACTGTATTATTACCTAACAATGGGTGGCCTGACCTTTTGTGATTCCTCTACTAACAATTATCAAATGGAATGCTGTGTTGGCCTACCACTGGACATTTAGAGGGTTATTTTTGTTTTGCTATATTAAATAGCTGATCTGTGCCACCAGTAGGCCCCTGAGGATGTGGGCCACAGAACAAGTAATTTTGATGAACAGAAGATGTCAGAAAATATCTGAAATATGGGGCGTGTTCACAGAAGGCAGAGTAACTGCGAGGGGAGAGGGGAGATGGGTCAGGAATACGGAGGGTCCTTAGAGAGACAAAAGGCACAGACAAGGGCAAGAGGTCTGTAGGCAAGGATCTCGAGCTCTTTATCAGAGATAATCTGGAAGATAACGCAAACGTTTTTTGGACCTCATCTTTTTTTCATTTTTCTTTTGAGCACGGTTTACTTTTCCATGGTAAAGGAGGCTGTTTATCTTGACTTTCTCAAATGTTCTAAAACATGTGCCTGAATGCTGATTTTCACACTCCTTCTGGAGGCTTGATATATTCTGACCGGGACTCACCAGCAGGTTGCCAAGGCCCTCGTAGTCGAATACTTTGCTCTCGTAGGTCTCAGCCAACTCTTTGCTCAGTTTGATGGCCTTCTCCCACATCTTCAGAAAAAGAAAGGTAGGGTTACAAGCGGAGAACAAAGCAGTCAGTGATCCCTCTGTGAAAGTCAGGGGAGAGTCGCTGACAGTGACTAAGGAGTCAGGTAGGTTGAGTTTCTGCAGACATTCTCACCACGCCTCACCTCCTGGATCAACCAAACCTTTGTCTTTTTCTGACATGATGACGCTACTGTATCTTGGCTGCTTTCCAGGCCACATCGTCTATAACTCTATTTGCAAGAACATGAAGAATACCGTGCATCCTAAACAACGCGATACGGCATTGAAAGGGCAAAGCACGAGAGACCACGGAGAGTTGAGAGGAACCAGTTCCCAAACCTGGGTTTTGAAAGCATGGAAGTCTTGTCAGAGGGGAAAGGAAGTTGGTGTGAGCTCTGGTTCTGATTCTGGGGTGCGTGTATGTGTGTGTGTGTGCGCTTTGAATAAGGATGTTTGGGAGGAGAAGAAAATGGAAGAAAGGCTAACCATACTGTTGAGTGCAATTTGGGAAGCTGTTTCTCTAATTTAGAACACTGACTCCCTATTTTTTTTTTTAATTTTTTAATGCTTTTTATTCATTTTTGAGAGAAAGAGACAGAGCGCCATCAGGGGAGGGGCACAGAGAGAGGGAGACAGGGACAAAGCACAAGCAGGAGAGGGCAGAGAGAAAGGGAGACACAGAATCCGAAGCAGGCTCCAGGCTCTGAGCTGTCAGCACAGAGCCCGACGCGGGGCTCGAACCCACGAACCGCGAGATCATGACTGGAGCCGAAGTCGGACGCTTAACCGACTGAGCCCCCCAGGCGCCCCTGATTCCCTATTCCTAACCAAACTATCTACTTAGCCAACGGGAGTTTTAAGAAAAATGCCTTTTTAAACCATTTATGACTGTCTCAGTTACAGCCTACTGCACATATGTGGTGCCTGAGGCTGGCATCCCAGATTGAGCCCTCGGTTCATTTTGATGGTTCATGAAACGCCTCTTAGATGGACACTATAAATAACACAGCATCTGGTAATTTCCTACTTGATCCTTATTAACCAGGTGCTGTGATCCATTGTTTCTGGGTGCTGAAGGAATGTAGGGACAGTTCACATACGGTTATAACACCTTTTAAAATTAAGTCTTCTAAAAATCATTTGCCAACTTCGGCCCCTCTGAAACTTCAGTGCCTGGAACCCTGCAAAGGCTCTGCAATCTGCCATATGGAACCCATTCCAGATCAGGTGAATCTGGAGCTGGAAGCCAGTCAACAGTATCAGAGAAGTTCTCTCCAAATGCTAAGTTATGTAAGAGGCAGGGAGATGGCCGAGCACGGCGCTTCTCAGAGTGTGGTCCCTGGTCTCCGCGAGTCCCCAAGACCCTATTAGGGGGACCAGAAGGCAACGTTATCTCCTTAGTAACAATAACGCTATTTGCCTTTCCCAAGCCCCATCCTCTTGTACAATGGGGTTTCCCACGGATGACAACAGGTGTCATACCGCGAGAGATGAACACAGAAGCAGACAGGAGAATCCTGCTGTCTCCTGTTCAGCCAGATGCTGAAGAGATTTGCAAACGTATCAAACGATGCTACTCGTATCACTATTTTTATGGAATGTATAGTTATTTTTTTTTAACATTTTTAAATTTATTTTTGAGAGACAGAGAGCACAAGCGGTGGAGGGGCAGAGAGAGAGAGGGAGACACGGGATCGGAAGCAGGCTCCAGGCTCTGAGCTGCCAGCACAGAGCCCGACGTGGGGCTCGAACTCACAGACCGTGAGATCATGACATGAGCGGAGGTCGAACGCTCAACTCACTGAGCCACACCCAGGCGCCCCTGGAATATATACTTATTTTTAATACATATGATTTATATTAGTAGTAAAAATGGCCTTAAGAGAACAAATAAGCAAATATTTTAAGATTTTCTGTTTCAATTTCTAAGAGTAGAAGTATCAATAAATATAATATAAAGAGAGGGCTGTTTTACTGGTGACTATCTCCTTCACCTGAGGGGTCTGTGCTTACCGTGGGTAGTTAGCATCAGAAAGGCATTGCAATATTGCAGCCAATTTCTTCCCTCCCCTACTACAAAAAAACAAACAAACAAAAACCAAACTCACTTTGCCTTTGTCAAAGTATGAAATGATCTCTTGATACAGCTTTTCTTTGAGCTCTTGCTGGGTATAAACATAGTAACTGTCCCTCTGAAGCAAATGGGGTACACAGGGCTTGTCAGACCACTGAAAAACAAACAAAAGGAACAAAAGGAATTAACATAACGCGGTGATTAACTAAGTCAATTAATCAAAGGAGATCGATGTAACAAGTACTCAGCTACTAAAAGTCAAATTTGTGTATATTTTCAACTTGGCCGTATTGCAGTATTTAGATTATTTATTAAGCACAAAAATTACCCCCTCCCCCCAAAAGGCACATGCCAGCTTCAAAACAAGTGTCATGCTGAACGTGAAAAGTTAGGAAAAAGGCGAGGGTGCCGACCAGCAAAGCTGCCGTTTAGTGCAAGTGTCACTCAGACAATTGGATGAAAGAAAAAAATTAGAAGTATAACAGTGGGAAGGAGGGGGTACACCTATCACTGTGTATAGACCAAGACTCTATTCTTCATAATCCATCCCTTCATAAAGCATGTCAACAGAAAAACTACCCCCGAGAGTGACAGAATTAAGTAGCGGCACAAAAATTAACAAACTCAGAAATAACTTAGAGACAAATTTCCTATAAACAGACGACCACTCTGAAAAATAGAAGACCCCAACAGAAGAAACGCAAAATGCGAAGATAATCCAGGCACCACAACGTGAATGCACTTTTTTTTTTAATACAAATTTTTAAATGTTTATTTTTGAGAGAGAGAGAGAGAGAGCGCGCTCAAGCATGAGCAGGGGAGGGGCAGAGAGAGAAGGAGCCACAGAATCCGAAGCAGGCTCCAGGCTCTGAGTTGTCAGCACGGATCCCAATGCAGGGCTCGAATTTACCAACCGTAAGATCACGATCTGAGCAGAAGTCTGAGGCTCAACTGACTGAGCCACCCAGGCGCCCCCACAACGTGAATGTACATAAAGAAACTGAATGGTACACTTAAAAATGGTTTAAATAGGGATGCCTGGTGGCTCAGTCAGTTAAGCATCGACTTCGGCTCAGGCCATGATCTCATGGTTCGTGAGTTCGAGCCCCCATCACGGCTCACTGCTCTTAGCACAGAGCTTACTTCGGATCCTCTGTCCCCCTCACTCTCTGCCCCTCCCCTGCTCATGCTCTCTCTCTCAAAAATAAACAAACATTAAAAACAAAAAGTTTACAGAAAGGTTTAAAAATGGTTTAAACCAATACATTTTATGTTATGTGCATTTTGCCGTAATTAAAGAGAAGAGGTATTTAGGAATCACCATAACAAGGAATATGCAAGACTTCCATCCGAAGACGTTTAACACATTCACAAAAGCAGACAAATGGAAACAAACGGAAAGTCCTGTCATGCTTTTGGATGAGAAAACAGCGACTCCATAAGCATGGAAATTCTCCCTAGATCTCTGGTTAAATTTCATGATTCCAAAGTCCTTATGGAAAAACAAACCAAGAGGAATGGGGTGGAAAACTCGGAAAAAAGCACAGCCGTGAAGAGTAACTACCAGGGAGTAAAACATACTATGGGGCAGTGTGGTGCTGGTGCATGGAGTACTCATTCAGACCATGCAAAAGTTGAGCAAATCTACAAAAGAGACTTGCCCTGTATAGCCCTTTACTACGTGATAAAGACGGACTATCATCCCAGTGAGAAAATTACGGACCGTACTTCGTAAACGGCACCCGAAATCCAGTAGCCACCTGGGTGGGGTGTAGTTGCATCCACCCCGCATTCTTTATGCCAGGGTAGGGTGTTTAACTTTCTGAGCAGCACAAATGAAAAGACCTACAGTCACCGACACACGGGAGTCTCTTTGTGATCATTCCACAGTCAACCAGCCCTCCCTCACCCCCCAGCCCCCCACAATAAGTTTTTTAGCGCCCTGAACTTGAATATGGATTGTGAATGGTTGCCCTGGGGACGTGGTGAGGCAGAGGAGTCCTGTGTTTAATCACAGAGCTAAGAACAACGTACCTGTGTTCTTTTAGTATAAAATAAAAATTAAGTTATACAAGAAAATTAATTGCTGGGGCAAGAACAGAGACAAAGAGATCCGATAGGAGGCTATCATGGTGCTCTAGGGGAGAGACAATGGACCAGGACGACAGCAATGGAGATTTAAAAAAAAAAGTGGATAGGGGCGCCTGGGTGGCGCAGTCGGTTAAGCGTCCGACTTCAGCCAGGTCACGATCTCGCGGTCCGTGAGTTCGAGCCCCGCATCAGGCTCTGGGCTGATGGCTCAGGGCCTGGAGCCTGTTTCCGATTCTGTGTCTCCCTCTCTCTCTGCCCCTCCCCCGTTCATGCTCTGTCTCTCTCTGTCCCAAAAATAAATTAAAAAAAAAAATAATAAAAAAAAAAATTAAAAAAAAAGTGGATAGAAAAGGGGTGCCTGGGTGGCTCAGTCGGTGAAGTGTCCGACTTCGGCTCAGGTCACGATCTCACAGTTTGTGGGTTCGAGCCCCGCGTCGGGCTCTGTGCTGACGGCTCGGAGCCTGGAGCCTGCTTCGGATTCTGTGTCTCCCTCTCGCTCTGCTCCTCCCCCCCTCACGCTCTGTCTCTCTCTCTCAAAAATAAATAAACATTAAAATAAACAAATACATAAAAGTGGATAGAAAGGACATGACATCAGGATCTCTAAAAGATCTCTACGCTCCTGCGTTCACTGCACCATGATTCACAATAGCCAAGACAAGGAAACAACCTAAGCGTCTAGCAATGTATCGATATATGGATAAAGAAGCTGCGGAAGATGTATGCAATCGGATAGCATTCAGCCACGAGAAAGAAGGAAATCCTGCCTTTCCTGGCAACATGGATGGACCCTGAGGGCATTATGCTAAGTGAAACAAGCCAGACCGAGAAAGGCAAATACTATATGAATGCTATGTGGTATCTCTTATGTACGGAACCTAACAAAGCCAAACACATGCAAACAGAAGGCACCAAGGCATCAAGAAGATGTTCTTGAAGGGTACCAGTACGGCCAGAGAATAAATAAATCCTGGACATCTAACGCATAATGATTACAGACCACAATACTGTACTACAGACTTCAAATTTTCTAAGAGACTAAATCTTAACTGCTTCCCCCCCACCACCGCCCCCCAACCCCCCACACACACAAAGTCTGTGCCCTGACAGAGGTGTTCACTAACTCTACAGGCCCATGATTCTTGCTCAGCCACGACAGGGGGGCGGGGGGGGGGGGGGGGGGGGGGGGGGGGGGGGGGGGAGGGCGGTGAAAAAAAGATTACAACAGGTATTTGCCAGAGTCCCTGGGTGGACCGAGGTGCGCTTTGGTAAAATGGGCAGAAAGGAGAAGGTAGGAATGGATCATCCCCCACCCACAGTGGGAAATAACAGTTACTGCCGGGTGAAGCGTGAGCTGTCTCTTGGTCACTCCGACACTGCGATGTTGAAAGAAGCGGTTCATACGAGAATCCAAAGTTAGAGGGCTGGTGGGGACCAGGAATAATTACACACCATGATGTACAGATGTGCTTATATCCATGGCACGCTTTTACCCAGCAAGAGAGTATAAATAGGAAAGTACTGCTATGTTCATTTGCAACTTATTTCTTGACAGTGGCACAATTTTTCTTTTTTTTTACATCTATGAATATGCTGCGTATATTAATCAACGTGTTTGGTTTCTTCAGTTAGACTGTCCATTACTAGAGACCTGTGAGCTGTGCTCTGCTTCCAAAGGAGTTTTAAATAAATGATAACCGACATTTTCCCAACACTGGTCAGGAAATTCGCTGTGCTTGTTTTAGATGGTATTCGACTAACTCTTGGGTTAAAGGGGTCTCCCTTGGACAAGGCTCTTTCCCGTCAGAATCAGGAAGCCTGCGGGATTTGGTCCCAAAGGGCTGGCCAGTTGGCTCCCACCCAGTGGAAAAAAGCCTCCCCCACCGACTTACCTGCAGAAGCTCAGCATGTAGGAGAAGCGTGTAGGCGGCTTCTGTGTAGTTCTCTGAGTCTCGGTGCAAATCCCGCAGCTTGTACAAGTACCTGGTAAGAAGGGGACACAGGAGGTGCTCTGGGGCTCAGGGTCACCTCATTAGGCAACCAGACCACGGCCTCTTCCCCATCTTTTCTCCCCTCCTCCTTCGCACAGACCAAGGAATCTATTACTTCCCGTCTTTGCATCCACTTAACCCACTGTGCCGCTTCCTGCCTGTGTGTCTTTCCCATTCCATCTACTCTACTGTACTTTTTGTTTAACACAGGCATGCTTAATTTTTTTCTTTTTT